CCTAGGACCAATGTCCTATGTAGTCACAAGTTTCTAACTTGACTTGTTTCTAACCTGACATTGACAATGTCAGGTATGGGTTCCATCTCATGAAGTGCTACCTAAATCCATATTTATTTACTTACTTATTTATTTACTTAATTACTTATTTGGTGTTTTTGAGACAGGGTTTCTCTGTATAACTTTGGAGCCTATCCTGGCACTCACTCTGTAGACCAGGCTGGTCTTGAACTCACAGAGATCCACCTGTCTCTGCCTCCTGAGTGCTGGGATTAAAGGCGTGCACCACTAAAGCCCAGCTTTTCTTTTTAATCCATTTTTTTAAAAAAAAAAAGGTAGGCAAAAAATAAATAAACTAAAATAAAATAAAATGAGTTAGGCACTGCAACATTTGGGCTACTGTTGTATCATTTCACATGTCTTATCAGGCAGGTTATTATCTAAGCTCATAGAGTTCAGAACTCGATGATATTAATGATTAATTGTCTTTTCCAGAAGCACTCATAGCAAATCCCAGCACTATGAAAGCTAGTCTGTAGGGTTGAAACTTCCAGTTGATTACCAGCTAGATTTATCTATGTTCTGTAACTCGAGTATATGGTATCTTCAGCAATAGGTTCTTACTGTCCACCTCTGGAGAATAACCAGTAACATTGGAAATAGCTTGTAATGTGTGACAAGAGGTCTATGAGACCTCATTGGGCAATAATTCAAAAAGAGGCAGCCCATTCCAAGTACTGGGAGTTTTATTTCATAGCACATGGCATCTAGTTGTAATCTACCCTACTATATAGTAAGTCATAATGATTTTATCGTTAGTTGTTCCTCCCCCAAGACTTCTCTACCATCCCTTCCCACCCTGACCCAACTTATTCTTTCCTGTTTCGTTGCTGCCCATTGCTCCTTTGTAACATTATATTGTATTTTATCTATCTTGAAAAAGCCCCTCTTCCACATGGGCTCCTTATTATTTGCCTAGCTTCTATAGATATTACAAATGAAACACATATATTTAATATTTTAAAACTAACTTCCATATGTCAGAGTAAACATGCAATGTTTGCCTTTCTGAGTTTTGTCATACTCAAAATGACTGTTTGCAGTTCCATCCATTTATGTGCAAATTATTTTTCTTAACAGCTAGAATAATCTTCTATTGTGTATGTGAAACATATTTTCATTATCCATTCATTATTTGATGGAGATCTAGGCTGTTTCCATTTCTTGAATATTGTGAATAAGGCAGCAATGAACATAAATCAGTAAGCATCTCTGTAGTAACAGAGTCTATTAGATATATGTTCAAGACTGGTGTTGCCAAAAACCAAAGAATAACTAAAAATAATACTCCTCAAAATATTCTGCAAAACAGAAACTGGAAGGAACACTTTCAAACTCTTTTTTATAAAACCAATATCACCCTAAAACCTAAACTAGGCAAAGACCCAATGAAAAAGGAAAATTCTAGGCCAATATCTCTGATGAACATAGCACCAAAATTCTCAATATAACACTTCCAAACTCAATTCAAGAACATATCAGAAGGATTGTCCATCATGATCAAGTTAACTTTATCTAAAAGCTGCAGGAATGGTTCAGCATAGTAAATAATTCTTTAAAACAATCTAACAAATAAATCACTAAATGCCCTTTCATTTGATGCAGAAAAAGCCTTTAATGAAACCAATATCTCTTCAAGACAAAAGTCCTGGTGAAAATAAGGAAACAAGGAACACATCTTAACATTATGAAGGCAATTTACAACAAGCTCAGGGCAAGCATCACTCTAACTGGAGAGAAAGTCAAATCATTTCCATTAAAACCAGAAACAAGAAAAGGATATCTACTAGCTCCATTCCTGTTCATTGTGCTATTCAAAGTCCTAGCTAAAGCAATTGTACAAGTGAAAGAGATCAAGAGAAAACAAATTAGAAAGAAGTCAAAGTATCCTTATTTGCAAATGATATGGCTTTATGCATAAAAGACCACACAGATTCCACCAGGAAGCTTCTACAGCTCATAATTCATTCATCAAAGTAGCAAATTACAATATTAAGACAAAAATTCAGTAGGCTTCATATATGCAAACAACAAACAGACCAAGGAAGATATAAGGAAAAGAATACCATTTACAGTTGGGCTGAATAAAAAGTATAATATCTTGGGCTGGAGAGATGGCTCAGAGGTTAAGAGCACTGACTGCTCTTCCAGAGGTCCTGAGTTCAATTCCCAGTAACCACATGGTGGCTCACAACCATCCGTTATGAGATCCGGTGCCCTCTTCTGGTGTGCAGATATTCATGGAAGCAGAATGTTGCATACATAATAAATAAAAGAATCTAAAAAAAGTATATTATCTTGAAACAAACCTAACAAAAGAGCTGAAAGATTTGTCTAATAAAAATTTAATTGAATGGAAGAAGATACACAAGGATGAGACCTCTCATGTTCATGGGTTGCTAGTAGTAGCATTTTTAAAATGACCATTCTATTGAAAGCAACTTTCATTTTACAATCCTCATCAAAATTCAAACATAAGTTTTTTGCAAATAAATTTAAATCCTTCATTTCATTTGGAAATTCAAAAATCTCAAGATAGCTAAAATAACACTTTAAAAAACTTTAGATATTATCATTCCTGGTATTTAATTATAGTACTTGTTAACAGTAATAAAGACAGTGTGCTAATGAAATGAAAAGAGATACATTGATCAGTGAAATAAAATTGAGGACCCAGACACATATTCACATACCTTGAGACACTTGATTGTTTACAGACTTGAAAGGTATATACTAAAGAAATATAGCATTTTTTAAAAATACTGTTAATAAAACTGGATAGATGTATGTAGATGAAGAAAACTAGATGTATATTTTTACTCTACACAAAACTAAACTCCATATATTTTGAGGACCTCAACATAAGACCTGCTGTCTTAACACAGATCATTTCCCACAGACTTGCCCACCACCCATGCCTTTGTTTCACCCACCAATTCCCATAGACATTCTATGGGAGCCTGGTAGCCAAGCCAGCCAGAAGAGGCAGCAAGTAGGTAATCAGGTAAGCAGGTACATGATCCTCATTCTTCTCTCTTCGTCATCTTTTACAAATTCAGTCCCCCAGTTTCATGCCCAGATCAGTAGGATATCACCTACTATGGCTTCTCCTCCCTCTCTGCCCCTAAGCAGATCCTGGTGGCATGTGTACCTTACTTTTCTCCTTCCTTTGGACACCCCTGGCCCCCTTTGTAGCCCATCCCCATTCCTAAGTGTCAGCTCCCTATACTTATAAATACATTCTACCCAGAATCCCAAGTGGCCACACCTGGCAGGATCTAAGAAACATTTCCTACCAGGCAACACATGGCTACTACAATTTCCTACAAACCAGAGAGGGCACAGAAACCGAAGAACAGAATGTCCAACAAGGATAAGAGCAGACATCAGCAACTATATTATAATTATCCCAAATCCCAATGCCCTGATGCCAGTGTAAAAACACAATCAATGGCTCTCAGGACAATGTCTCCAGTAGTACCCAGCAACCCTACAACAGTATACCCTGAGAAAAGCAATATACCTGAAGTAAAAGAAAGGGACTTCAATTGCCTTTACCGATATGTTATAGATGTCCTTAAAGAGAAAATCAGCACACCCTCTAAAGAAATTCAAACACAAACAGTGGAAGAAAATGAGTAATACTGTTCAAGACCTGAAAATGGAGATAGAACCAATAAAGAAAATCCAAAGTGAGGGAATTCTGTAAATGAAAAATTTAGGAATTCAAACAAGATCTACAGAGACAAGTTCCACCAACAGAATACAAGAGATGGAAAAGAGAATCTCAGGAATTTAAGATACAATAGAATAAATGGATAAACCAAGCAAAGAAAATATTAGATCTAATAAACTCCTGACATAAAACATCTAGGAATTCTCAGAACTATGGAAATAGTTCAAATTTAGATGTCAAATCTAAGAATAACAGGAATCAAGGAAGGAGAATCCCATTTCAAAGACTCAGAAAAACATTCAACAAAGTCAGGATGAACCAGACTTGGATTCTTGTTTTCAATTATCACTGAACTTTAGAGTCACTAGGGGGAGCTCTTGTCCTCATTTATGATGGGGAAATATAAATTGAAAGTACTTTGAGATGTCATCTTCCCATGGTTGGAACGGCTAAGCTTCAAAAAACAGTAGTGATGAAAAACCTGGGGAAAGGGAAACACTTATTGATTGCTACTGGGAGTACAAACTGCTGAAGCCATTGTATCAGTGCGGAGGTTCCTCAAAGAGCTGAGCAAAATCTACCCCAAAACCTTGTATATATTTACAACATAATACATGGTATTTTTAACATTTGCATTGTATGGTTTCTAAATTCAATGGGAATGTGTGTGTGTGTGTGTGTGTGTGTGTGTGTGTGTGTGTGTGTGGTGCCCTACTTCATATATAATTTTTGTGTGAGTACTCCAAATCTATTCTAGTTATTTTAAAAAATAGTATGCATTTTTCCAGTAAGTATGCTCACTATGTAGCACAACAGATCTCTTGAATGCATTTCTTCCTATAATTGAAATTTTATGTTTTGACTAGCTCTGAAGGGTTTTATTATTGATGATAACAGTGATTTTGCTATGAACATTTAGTGACTGCAATGTCCTACAAATCTGTGGAAAATTTGAACCAACAGCATTGTTCAACCCTAAATGCCAATAGTGCCCTAATGAAAATCAACAATGCTTTAAATTATTTTAGGACACAGAAAAATGAGGCACAGAAAGGGTTAACTGGTACCCATACTCACATAGTCAGATGTGAGCATAAATATGTCTCTGGGAAATTAGACTGGTGTTCACCCCTTGAGTACAAATTCTTTATATTGGGTAAGCGCAGTCTATATTCTTATTTTGGATGGTGGAAGACAGTGCATATGTGCCCTGATGGTGTTGTGTTTACTTTCTTTCTTTTTCTCCAATTTTTAATGATTGCAGCTGAGTTTGGTGATTATTATCCTGATGAGCATCCTGAGAATTACATCAGTGACTTTGAGATTTTCCCCAAACAGTCACAGAAGTTGGAAAGAAAAATCATGGAAATTCATAACACTGAACTCAGGTAATTTGTGGAAAGGCATTCTTGCTAGATAGAAAGTGAGAATCTTGTGAAGTCATACTATTTGAAATGTGAGTAGACAGCTTCAGGCTGCAGAGAAACATTTCTAGACCCTACAAAGGATGATTTAGCATCTCAATTAGTGTAAAATTTTTCCAAGATAGTGCCTATGGGTGATCAAAAGGGAAAAAAGCTCTGAGTTTCTGAAAATATATCTGAGGTGAATAAGCCTTTTTTTCCTATTTGAATCTTGCTTTTTCCTTTCTTGTGTCCCTTACTAGAAGTAGAATTGAATTCATTGAAAAGGTGTCAGACTTTGCTGCTGCCAATGGGAGGCCTTACCTTTCTGAGGAGTGGGTCGGCGTGGGTTGAAGAGAGGTGACCAGGAGGACAGGAGAAGGGGAGGGAAGGGGAACTATGGTTGGTATGTAAAATGAGTAAAAAAAATGTTTAAACTTTCATTTTCTTAACTGATTTCAAACAGATGAGATTTAATGTATGTTATTCCTTTGCTTGTCTCTAATGCTGCAGAATGAGAACTCCAGAGTAACTGTCAGAGAACAGATATGAATAGACTATCACCGAGAACCAGGCACCATGCTATTGTACACATTGAACACACTGACTCAATAATCTTCACAATGGTGTAGGAAGGAGATACTAAGGATTTTTTCGCCCATTGTGTGTATGGGAACTCAGTCCAGAGAGGTTAAAGAACTTGTACATTTCTGGGATTTGAATTCACGCATAAGTAAATGTAGCAAAATGAAGCATATTTAGGAATTTTGACAACTTGTAATTCGAGTAACTTAGGTATGTTAGTCTGCAGTTAGTTGGAATTTAGATCCTATACAAATCTCAGAAAAATAATGTGATAACAACATGAATAGGTAATGCTATAATAATTATCATGAAGAACTAGTTTTTCTGTCCTCTTAGTAATGAAGGGTCTCTAGTTAACCTTTTTTTTTTTTAATTCTCACAATATGTGTCTAGCTACTCAAGGTGGCAGCCTATTTCAGGTTAGAAATGATAACCTTTATTTTCAGAATTCTTAGATATCACAACATTGTGCCAATTTCAGAAAATAATATATCATTTCTATGGCTTACCTGAGAGAATTTTCTGTTAAAGAAAATGTATTGGAAATATATACAGAATATACAATTATTTCTATATTTTGGAAATAAATGTACTATATAGAATATTGACCCATAGTATTCCAGTTGAGGGAACTATGGTATAGAATTGTTCTTCTTAGGAACCAAGTGGTAAGAGTTATTAGATGAGTAAGTTGCATTCATTACATGGATTAGTAGAAGAGGTAGATCTTCTGTGGCTAGAATTTATAGGGCTTTAAATTCTTGTTGAATATTATAATGATAAACATTTATTGAGCATTTCTAAGGTGCCAAAATACAATGCAAAGAGGTTTTTGAACACTATTCTACCCCATCCTTCCAAATTGTAGGAGATAGGCACTATTTTAGGTACTATTTGTGTACCTGTGAGGGACAAGGAAGATAGATTATGAAGAGGATAAAGAATGTTTCATGTAAGTTAACATTAATGTCAGAAAATTCTACAGTCTTGTCCCCCTGAATTTAATTCTGGGTTTCTGTATGCAAATGGATCAGACAGAGCCAAGCCCATCCCTTTCTCTGTGTGTACTTTATAATCAGTTCAGATATGGCTAGCAATAGTTGGTATCTCATTATAAATCAATGGTGACTAATGACCATTTATTCTTGAAGCTGTATATTTTATATTGTCAGTGAAGGCATAAGATCAATATGAGAGAGCTTATTCCTTGTTAGCTAAAACAGAACAGGAAAATATAGCTAAATACATAATTATCCAACCTCAGCAAATTTAGTAGACTCTTCAGAGAATTATATCTTAGAATTGCTGTCTGCTAATAAAGAAATTCAACTAATCCCAGGTTCTTTTTTTTTTCAATGTCTCATTAGAGAAGCTTCATCTTGCAGAAGATTTTTATTTTCTGTTGCCATATTCAAAGATTTTCCAGAAACAAATGTCCAGTGCAAGAGTAAAGGAACAGAATTTAATTACTTACTGTGGAAACAAATTATTAAATGACTTGTTCCTCAATAATTTGGGGATCTCAGGAGCTCAGTTTATTGAATTCCTGCCTCAGATGCTATGGCTGTATGACATTTGCACTGATGTTGCTGGGTCCTAACTGCTCCCGGGGAGGAGGCATAAAGTCAATAACATGAACTTCAGGACTCAAGTGAAAGGAAAACAGCAGACTCTTTTATCAAGCAATGGATACAAACTTATATACTATCCCAGCACCTAGGAGTTCTGATCTGTTGTCGTTGCATAGTCGCCCCTCATTGGCTAGGCACCATCAGGACCTCTGGCAACTCCTGTTGCTAGGGCCTCAGGCAGGATCATGTAGTAGCCCCTCACTGGCTGGGCAAGATCAGGACCACTGACAGCAACTGTCAAACTCCAGGTTGGGTCTCTAGGTCTGGTTGGCCTTAACTTCCTGCATACTGAGTCTTTCTTTGTGTATAAATTTGTCAACTAATTGATTCAGATGCTTAGCTAGCAGAAATTTGGAGACAAACCTAAGCAAACAGTACTGACATGGAGATTTATAAAGATGAGCTTGTGCTTTGTTGTAGCTAAACATCCTAACTGACAATTCCCCTCAGTAGGTTTTCTGGTTTCAGTCATGGTCAGGAATAATGGAACGAATGCTAAATCTAAGGGGAAGAAAACAGAAAAAACTAAGCCTAAACCACATGTAAAACTAGAATTGAGCAACATGAAAAAAGCTGAGGACATTCCACCAACTGACTGAAGAATATACAACCAAAACGTAGTAACCAAAACATCATGATACTGGCTGGAATAATGCAGACACAAAAACAATGAACCAACACAGGAAGCCCCAAAATAAACTAATGCACTTACAGCCAATGATATGCAGCAAAGAGCCCAAAACACATGGTAGTAAAAAAAAAAATTCTCTTAGCCAGTCAGTGGTGGAGCATGCCTTTAATCCCAGCATTCAGGAGACAGAGGCAAGGACAGCCTGTGAGTTCAAAGACAGCATGGTCTACAGAGTGAGTTCTAGGACAGCTAAGAGTGTTTCACAGAGAAACTCTCCCTCAAAAGCAAACCAGATCCCACTGCCTTGTCAACCTTTGCTGGGAAAAGCAATTATCATCATGCAAAAGAATAAAATTAGATCCAAAAATTTCACTATTGTCCTAGTTAGGATTACTATTGCTGTGATAAAACACCATGATCAAGAGTAAGTTGGGGAGGAAAGGGTTATTTCACTTATGCTTTATCATCGAATGATGCCCAGACAGGACCTCAAACAGAGCAGAGTAAACAGGAGCTGATGCAGAGCCATTATCCCAAATCTTGTATTGCTCTATTTAAAATACCTATCTCTCACAGAGTTGTTAACTAGGAATGCCATGAGAACTACAGTCAACCTTTTGAGGGCAACATCTCTATTGACTTTTGCACGTGCCCACATCTCTAAAAGAGTCCATCTCTCAACTTACCATTCTAAGGAACAAGCATAGAGCAAATGAAAGTGTGAAGGGGGAACTGAACTGTAGCCTTTGTTGCATGGACTAGAAAAAGAAAGATAGACCTTAAAGACAACTTAAATTTTACAAAAGAATAATGTATGGCTTTTAAAATGTACTGTTAGGAGCTAGAGAGATGGCTCAGTCATGGCGGACCCATGTTCAATTTTCAGCACCCACGTAGCAGCTCACAACCATCAGTAACTCCAGTTCCACAGTATCTAATACACCCTGCTGGCCTCCCAGAGCACCAGACATGCATGTGGTACACAGATATACATGCAAGCAAAACAGCCACACATATAAAATAAATAATTTTTAAGTGAAAAATAAAATAAAAATGTGCCAACCATGAAAGTAGCCATCTCTATACAGCAGAAGAGTTCTAACTAGTCTGTGGTAGAGTGAGAGCCTTTTAACTAAGACAAAAGTATGCAGAGGCACTGTCCTGAAAATTTAGGAGGCAAAGGGACACATTGGCTTGATCTTAGTGCGCCTTGAATTCTGTCCACATGACTAAGGCTGAAGTTTTTCTTTGAAGGCTGTCAGAATAGATTGTTGTTTAATAACATTCAGGATAGCACAGCTTCATTGACTTTGTCCTAAAGCAAGTAGGAGTGTGTGTGTGTGTGTGTGTGTGTGTGTGTGTGTGTGTGTTTTGCATAGAAACAGAGAGATCCAAACAAGAGTGGCTTAACTAAAGAGCCAACAATACTGATTATGATGAGGATGCTCTGCAGACATACTGAAGCAAAACTTCAATCAGTAAGAATAAAGGAAGAACCTGGAATGCTTCAGGGAGAAAGCATGTGGACACCATTTTAATTTAAAGTAATGATGAGTCCTTAATGTATTGAAGAGCTCAAGTGACAATCCTATATGCAGAAACCTTAGGTGCAGTCAGATTGAATGGCATAATATAATTTTATAATTACAATATAAAATGACATTCTGTTTTTTTTTTTTCATCGAATACAATTCTTGACTGGGAATGGTTTGGATTCTTTGTGGTATATGTGAGATACTAATGTTAGTCAAAGCTGGATCTTTGAAATATTACATAATCTCAGTGTGCAAGTCAGTCCTTCCTGAAACTGTGTTTGCTAAGCCCCTTCTCCCGGCGGCTTGTTTACCAACATAGGAGAGACTTCTAGAACTAATATTTGAGGTTTCCTCTGGTGTTCCAGGGCTTTTTGTAGAATTATTTACAAATGTTCTATGCCCAGAAGGTTCTGTTTAGGATTGTTATTGAAGGTTAAATAAGATTGCCCTCTTTCTGATCTGAACAAGAAAAACCATTCATCCTGGATAATCTTTTAAAATACATAGTAAAGGAGGGATCCTGAGTTTTCTTTTTTATTAGGTTTAATTGGTGGGGACATCCTTTCTGCTAACTTGATACTATTGATTAACTGTATACTCACTAGAATGCTAATAATATACAGCAGTGTATTTCTATATAATTAGCTACAAAGTGTGACATTCATTAAAGGGCTCTGCCTGGTGAGAAGTACTGATGGATGTACTAGTCCTACTGACAAGGATCTTTATATTAAACAGAAAATAATATTTGATTGATTAAAGGGGCTACTTGTTTTTATTGGTGATATTTCATTTGAACTCTCTAAATTTGTGTGTGTGTGTCATTTTAGAGGTCAGAGCCCAGCGATTGCTGAATTCAACTTACTCCTTAAAGCTCACACACTGGAAACTTATGGGGTGGATCCTCACCCATGCAAGGTAACTGCCTCAAGCAGGTCACCATATAATCATCATTTTGTCCAACATAAAATTATTGGCATGTAGGCCTGGCAGAATACCCTTAGATTTATAAAGCCTTACCTTAACAATCATTTGGAAGACATAAGAGGTAGGCTATGACTGTATTAAATATGTAAGGTCTTAAAAAAAATAGAAGGGATTTTGAGAGCCCATCCCATGTGAAGGGATGCTCTCTTGACCTGGACACATGGGGAAGGGCCTAGGCCCGGCCCAGGATGATGTGGTAGACTTTGGGAAGCCCCTTTTGAGGGCCTTACCCTACCTGGGGAGTGGAGGGGGGATGGCTAGGGGCAGGTGGGATGTTGGGGGAGGGGAAGGAGAGAGAGAGGGGATTGACATGTGAAGCAAGCTTGTTCCTAATTTAAACTAATAAAAGAATAAAATAAAATAAAATAAAATAAGAAATAGGCTATGATCAAATGTTTTGGATGTGACTGGAGTCTGTGCCAGAGACCTGGAAATGCTCACTAATTGTATTGGAGTAGCCAAATCTCCCTAAATTAATGTGTATACACTTATACATCTGCTGGATGATTTACCTCAGAAAGTGAGAGTATTCAAACAGGTTTACTTTCAAGGTCTTTACCAACAAAAACATAGTCTCAGGGCCACCCTTTGCAGACTTTCTTTCAAGCCCATCTCTGTTCCTCTTTGATGCCCATGTACCCACAGAATCATTCTCTACCACAGGTCCCAGTGGCTAGACTAGGCTAGGACTTGGGTAGGCAAATTTTATTGTAATTCCTGTCTTCCATTCCTGACTCTCCTGACTTACTCTTATGCTGCAACAACCTGCATACAGGAGTGCCTTCTCTCTGCCCACCTTCATTCCCTGGGAACTTTGCCTCTTGGTACTCCTAGTTCATTCCTGCTGCCTTTAAACCTTAGGTAGAGGGATGATTTATAGATGTATCCATTGGAACTGGGATATACAACTTGGCATTTTGATTGGTTGTGGTTTTCTGTAATGGTTTCCATCTCTATCAAACAGAAGTTTACTTGATGGTAAGTGAAGGAGACACTTATCAGTGGTTATAAAGACAGTTGTTTTTTTTTCATATAAATTGTTGTTAGGGGTTATGCTGGTTTGGTAAATTAGTGGTTGTAAGTTCTCCTCCAATACAAGTATGACTTCCCTAGCATTCAGTAGTTACCTAGGTTTACAGTATGGTGTCCCTCTTGTTGTGCAGGTTTTTGTCGAATTAGAGAGCCAAGGTATGTCTGACACTACTGCACCCTTAGGGTTATCATGCCTTGATTGCCATTGATGTAGTTCATAGGCATTATTATAGCTGAGTAAGACTTTGGAAACTTGCATGGATTCTTCTGGCACCACGAGTCCCTATAGAGAGGGCTTTCTGGTCAATTCCAGCTCAGAGGTATCTGGACCCTGTTTCTGAAGTGCATGGTATCTTCAGCAATAGGATCCTACCTTCCACCTCTGTGGGGTTACTAAGGACAAAGCAATAGGCTCTCTTGGACATTCCCGGCCAACAAGGTAGTGTAACTTATGTTACCAACACAAACAGTAAAATGATACTAACTTTTCAATGTAGTCTTCAAAATGGAGAAAGATGAAGGGAAAAGAAAAGAAACTTTTGAAATACATTAAGTGAAAATATTTATTAATCTTTTTCTTTTTCTCATTATTTGGCAACATTTCCTACAAGGATGAAACATAAACAACTTTTATCAGAATTACCTATGCTGTATCTCAGAGTTGCAGATTATTTCTCTATGTGTCTATCTTTTTCTATCTCTCTCTCTCATATGTGTCATACATGTATGTGATTGAGTGTGCACATGTGTGTGCTTACATGTGGAGGCCCAAGGTCAGACTTGGTGTCTTTCATTAACCTCTCTACACCACAATTTTATTAGAAAGGGTCTCTCACTGAACTGGGAGTTTATTGATTAGGATAGGATCAGTCAGGATATTAAAATCAGTTTTGAAGTTATTCTTTAGCATTTCTATTTACCCAGACCAAGACAGATTACTAGCTAAGTGCTGGATCTATTGTACTCAGCTCAGTCTGCTCATTAGCCGCACTTGGAAAACATCATAAAGATCTGCTTGGCCAGAGCTTACCCAACCCCTATTGCCTCAAGCTCTGTGAACATGGAAGTCAGGCTGCCAGGTGACAGGGTAGTGCTAGGATGGTTTTATCTCTCTGTATTGACACATGCTTCTTCTTTTCCTGCCTATACAATTATGTTATGATAGTTGCCAGATGCCTTTAGTGATGATATAAATATGTGTATTTCATTCAGTGGCTTAGATTCTTTGCAGGAATGTATTCCCCTCTGTTTATTTTCTTGTTTGGAAACTGACTGGATATTTCAGTTATTTTTTGGCCTTAAGTCATCCAGGAGTTGCTTAGAATTTCAGGATTGGCTGGAAGTTAAGTGGGCTTTTCCTGGTGATTTTTATACTGATAATGCCAGAAATTCTGCATGTGCTTGAAACAGATTATCAGAAATGGTCAAAGTTTTGGTTTCATTGCATTAGAGAGCTCATGGTAACCAATAATAGTTTGCTGGCATTACAGAGAAGATCCAGAGCACAAGCAATTCAAAACACTGGAAACTAAAGTATTTGGAAGAAAACTGTATTTTTTTATATAGATCCTGTTAGGGCAATATGTCTATTTCTGGAAGAAAAACAATACATAACACTAGATTTTCCCCAGAGTTTGGAAGTCGTGTTCTTGGGAATTCCATCTTAAACACTTAGTTTATGGCTATAGTTGCTGACCTTGGTTTAAATTAACCCAAGATGAAGGAAAATTAGCATGTCATTTATCATTTATATTTCTCAATCCAAATAGTTCTTTGTTTGCATTTCTTCAGGATTCACGAGGTGCTACAGCATTTTTAGGATTCACTGCTGCAGGGTTTGTGGTATTCCAGGGAAATAAGAGAATCCATTTGAGAAAGTGGTAAGTACATCTTTGGAAAAATGGCTTACCTTTTTCTTGATCTCCCCTGCCTCCTTTTTTTCTTTAGCATTATTTTTTCCAGCACTGTCAGTAGTGTCCTGCTTAGCTTCAACTGTCAACTTGACACAACTTAAAGTGTTCTTGTTAGCACTTGTCAGCTTGACACAAATCCTGGATATACCTGAGAAGAGTGGCTCTCCACTGAAGAACTTCATCAGTTAAAATGTCATTAACCCATTAACATCATTTTCTTGATGGCTATTGGATGTAATAAAGCCTACCCTACTGTGGTTTACAGCATCCCTGGGCAGGCAGGCCTTTGCTGTATAAGAAAGGTAGCAGACTAAGCCATTGGAACAAGCAAGTTGTGTTCCTCCAGGGCCTCTACTTCAGTTCTTGCCTCAAGATAAGGAAAATTTATTTTAAAAAATTGGTGCCAGTAGTGTCTTTCTGGAACACATCTGAACATGTTTGCTTTGGAGAAGATTGTTACAGGATTTTGGATCTTTGGTACACAACAGAGATTGACAGAGCATAATGAGCTGTTCTGGGGATTGGAATATAATGCTTAAAGCAATGTAAACAACAGAGGCCTGGCTTGTGAAGATTCAGAAGAAAAAATTGTAAGAGGCTTTGGATTAAGATGCTGTGGAAAGAAAACCTTCTTTGCTTGGTGGAACAATTAATAATGGTTAGCTAGGACTGAAACATCAGCTGTTATTAATAACACCACCATCACTGAGGTGAAATCTTCTAGGAAGTATTTCTTCAGGATCAACATACAGAAGCTGTGGTCCAAAGAGGGCCAAAGCTGCATCTCAACCTGAAAGCCAAGCATGTTAATGTCTAATAGTCTCCCACATCACACTGCTTTTAGATACATAAAGGTGTCATGAAGAATAGCTGAGGCTTGGCACCATGTGGCAGGTTCAGAGTCCATGAAGATGGTTCAGGAGCAGCCGTATGTAATGGTGCAGTCTCGGTTGCAATAGAAATGGCAGGACTGAAGCGGTCATGGGGAAAAAAGCTGAGGATTGGCAGCATGTGTCAGGGTCAGGCTTCCTTCAGTGAAGCAAGTGGAGGTACAGTCTCAGGTGCAGATACCATGACCATGAGATGACCACCAGGGCCAGTGACGGTGGACAGTGCAGCATGCTGAGCCTCTGTGTGTACTATTATTGCAGAGCTAGAGTAGTGGTGCTACCCAAGCCCTTGGGAGCCCAAAAGGTCATGAGTGATTCCCAGATATTGGACACTGCGCTATTTTCACAGTGTCACAGTTTGGTTTCAATTTGATATGATTGTTGCTGTGCCCCAGTGCATTTTCTTTTTTTTGTTTGTTTGTTTTTGTTTTGTTTTGTTTTTTGAAATAGAAATGGTGACATTTGACTTTTAAATTATTGTAATTTTTATAAGACTGCAAGGCTTTATTTTATTAAAAGTAGGACTGTATTTTATATTGTGACATGAACATAAGATCTTGGGAACAAAATACAGGAAAGTTATGATTTAACAGTAATATGTTTGTTGTTGAGTTAAGGAGTAGATTATGCTAGCTAGTTTTTGTCAACTTGGCCCAAAATTCTAGACATTCATGGAAGGAGGGAATCTCAAATGAGGAATTATTTCTTTCAATTGGCCTATGGGCATGTCAGTTGGGTGCATTTCCTTAATTCTTAGTGGTGCACCTCTGATTGATAGGCCTGGACTGTGTAAGAAATGTAACGGAGCAAGCCAGTAAGTAACATTCCTCTGTGGTCACTGCTTCAGTTTTTACCTCCAAGCTCCTCCCTGAGTTCCTGCCACATTGGCTTCCCTTAGCTGTTACTTAAAGAATCATTCCTTTCCCACAGAAGTAGATTTGGGGCAGGGGCTCGGGGTGTTTATCACAGAGAAGCAAGCAAACTAGAATTTCTGGAAAAGAATCTAAATCCTAGATCAGATTGGCCTGTGGACATTTCTGTGGGAAATTGTCTTATTTAACTGTTATAGGAGGAGCCTGCCGACTGTGCACAGCACCATTCCCTAAGCAAGTAGTCTTAAACTGTAAGAAAGCTATGGTTCCTGCCATGCAGATTGGCTGTGAAGTAGATTCCTTGGCTAGAGTTTGCTGTATGGAATAGAGTGCTGGGCTGCCTTCAAGTTCCTACCTTGAGTTCCTGCCTTAACTTCTCTCAAAGATGGATAATGTTCTGTTGTTGTAACCTGCAATAAACTTTTCTTCCCTTAAGTTCCTTTTTGGCCAGTGTATTTTTCCCATCAATAGAAATAAAAATAAAACTGGAAGTAACCATTTGCTATGTAGCTTCATGATAGATCAATTTATGATCTATAAAAGGTAATCAATTCTAACAGGGTTCCAAAGAAAATCCACAACCAGTGCTGGGCTTTGGTGGCGCACGCCTTTAATCCCAGCAGAAACAGGCGGATCTCTATGAGTTCGAGGCCAGCCTGGTCTCCAGAGCGAGTGCCAGGATAGGCTCCAAAGCTACACAGAGAAACCCTGTCTTGAAAAACAAAAAAAATAAATAAATAAAAATAAAAAAATAAAAAAAATCCACATCCAATAGTTCTTAAATTATTCAAAACATACAAGCATGGAGTACTTCCAAACCCCTCCTGTGAAGCCAGTATTACTCTAATACCCAAACCAGGTATACACACATGCTCACTCATGTGTTTGGGTGGGGAGGTGCCAGTATCCCTGATACATTCTAAAATTCTTACAAATACAGGCATGCATCAAAAAGAACATATCCCGTGATCAAGTTGGCCTTATCCCAGCAAAACAAACTCAACATATGTAAGAAATAAATGTAATAAACCATACAAATGAAAAAAATACAAAAATCTCATGATCATCTCAATACATTCAGAAAAAGAAAAAGCCTTTGACAAGATCCAACATGGCTTCATAATGAAAGTCCTAGAACAAGTAGGAATGTAGGGAGCATATTCGAACATAATAAAGGTTATGCATGACAAACCCACAGTCAACATCATCCTAAATAAAGAAAATTCTGAAGCTGTCCCATTAAAATCAGGAATGAGAGAGGACTGCTCACTATTCCCACTATTTATCAATAATATGCTTGAAGCAGCAGCTGGAGCAATAAGGCAAGAGAAGGAATCAGAGGGATACAAATAGTCAAATTATTCCCAACTGAAGGTTATATGATTTTATACTCCAAGAGATCCCAAAATTCTCCCAGAAAATTTCTAGGAACTATCAATAATTTCAGCAAAATATTAGGACACATAATTGACTTACAAAATTCACTAGTCTTTGTATACACCAGTGACAAACATGCTGAGAAAGAAATCATAGACACACTCCTATTCAAAATTTCTCAACTAAAATAAAATATTTAGAATAAACCAAATAAAGGCAGTGAAAAACCTCTACAACAAAAAGTTTGAATCTGTGAAGAAATAAAATGAGGAAGATACTAGAATTTGAAAAGACCTCCCATGTTTAGGGTTTGGTAGAATTAACATTGTGAAAAGACCTTCCTTCCAAACAAAATTTACAGATTCAGTGCAATCCCAATCAACATCCTCATTACTTTCTTCACATAAATAGAAAAAATCCACAAATTCATATGGAATAACAAAAGACCCAGAATAGCCAATTAATCCTATATTGATGCCTGTTCCTAAGCATTCTGCTATATTTAAGTGCTAGATTCATCTAAGACCCATGACTTTTATATAACATCTGTTCCTACTGTATCATTGATTTTAATCAGTCATCCTTTCAATCCTCCTTTGTACCCACTTGTCTTCTTCTTCCACAATTAGGTATCTTAGAAATCATCCTTAAATTCTTTGTGTCTCAATGTTTTCATTCATAAAATGGGTATTAGATATATATGTCTGTCTTAGAAAGGGTGAAGGAGTTGGGGGAGAAACAAATGCAATGTTTGTAAGAGCACTTTGGAAATCTAGTGTAATTTGGTATCTATAAATGGTTATATGATGTTGCTATCTGGTTTTCTTCTCTAGATTTTCAGCATCTGACAAAGAAGCTCCAATGTGTTTACTTCAGTCAATTCCAGGGTAGATACCATAGATATTCCAACTTAGTTTGGGAAGCATGGGTAACTTGAAGACTACCCTCATTCTATCCCAGGACTGCAAAAGTCTTGGAGGATGTTATACGAATGTTCCAAAATTACTTTAGACCTGGAATGGTTTGATTAGAAGCTGCTGCACTAAATGCAGATTGACCTGTCTTTTCCATGTGACATTTTGTGAAGGGGTCATTGGAAAGATGGAGGCGAATAGTCTCTAGAGTATTTGTTTCTGTTTTCATTTCTTCAGGTTGCCTATGTTACTGGTACTGTGTTCATGTGGATCCCATTCTTTATGGCTTCTTCTTAACATATTTATTTGTTATGACCATGCATCTCTTGCTAAATCAAATTTTCTTCTCATGTAAATCATAAATGTTTTTTTTTAAATCCAGTTTTGTTACCATTTCAAAAATTCTATACCTACAGTGAAACAGGTAAAGGAAGCCCTGTTTCCTTTCTCATGGGAAAAACACACATGCAATATAACTATCCAAGAAATTAGATGAAAGATTTTTTTAAATCCACCTTTCATTCCATTCATCAAAAAAATGACTGTGGATCTACATTCAAACCAGGTTACAACAAATAGCCTTTTGAGATTAAATCAAGGTTGTCTTTTGACCATTATTTTTTGGAGAATTTCAATGTGGGCAGGAGTGATTCTTTTGAAAATTTGCCATGTAGTATATGTTCTTCCTAGAGATGGATGGAGAAGAATGGAAAAAAATTGAAAGTTTGAATTCATATTATTCTACTAACATTCTTCATACTTCAAACAGTGAGCTCTTCAACTGATGTTTCAGTTGCTAATGTTTATAAACACTTCAAAGCCTATTAAAGGAAAGATGTATCCTAACTGTAAAAAAAGAAGAAGAAGAAGAAGAAGAAATAATTCTGAGCTTGCAGTACATCAACTCTTGGGAAGAAAATTGCTACATAATTTACTTAGAGACCTCCATTCTCAATATCCCATCAATGATAATAAAATATTTTGATTCACTGTAGTTATTTGTGAGTCAGATAGATTTATATGGCAAAGTTAGGTGCCTTGTTTAGGTGTAGTTTGGGAGGGCTGTTTTTTTGTTTGTTTTTCCTTCTCATACAGAGACTTTATTTTTTTTAGGCCAGATGTCTGCAAATTGAAGTTTGAAGGAAAGACATTTTATGTGATTGGCACCCAGAAGGAGGTCAGATACTGATTTTATAATTACTTGATATGTGTACATGTACAAATGTGTGTGCATAAGAGAGACCTAAGAATACAATAGCTTTTAGTATGGTTGCCCTACTTTGAAGAGTGATGATAATGGATGCTGTTCATTGGAAACATTTTAATTCTAGACAAGGCAGTGGTAATCCACAGGTAAAAATATAGTGAATGAGCAATGTCCACTGTATGAATGTATGTAAAAGACAGATTGGGATAAACTTTATTGGACTCTCACCAGAAGTCTTTGTCTAAGATGTAAATAAATGAAGCAGAAGAGAAATTCTTATAAAACTAGATATCAGTCAACACTAAATAAAGTGTTATGGCCACAGTGTATATGCCCAAGTTGTTTTTCCCCAAGAGTTTTTAGTAGTCATTAAATATAGTTTGTGGGCTCACCAGGGAATGGACTTGGTGGAAGGCTATTACTAAAATATTGAACATTAAAGCTAGATTTGAAGTTTGCTAATTTTCTTGACTTTTGTTATTGACTGAAATGTTCTTCCAGTGTGATAAGCAATTTTTAGATTAATCAAGGATTGATAGAGAGGTTGGTGATGACTGGAGTATAAGTGAAGATTATGAATCAGCTTTGCATAGAATTTAAATAGATTATAGATGTCTGATGAGTGAGGAAAAAGTTATACTGTTTCAACTTCAGTGAATATAGTAATATCGGAGGGATTACTAGAGAGAAGGATCAATGTATTTACTGTGTAACCACAATGATTTTAGTTTGATACCCAGAGGCCACATAAGATCCTTGCCCCCAGCCCTATGTGAAGAAGCGATATTTGTAGAGCTTGCTGGCTTGCCACTCTAGTTGAAGTGGTGCACTCCAGGTTCAGTTAGAGACTGTTTCAAAAGTAAGTTTTGAAAATGGTAAAGGAA